GCTGGGTCAAAGGTTACCCTGAGGGGTTACGTGATGTCAGGCATTCAAGTATTGAGTATATTTACTGCATATTACAGTAAAATATTCTGTATGTGACCATATTATGGTGATCCTTGGGTCATGATGATGGGGCCCTTTAATATTGTTGCCCAGGGTACAACAAAGTGTTAATCTGGCCCTGGTTGTAGTGTGTAATTGTGGACTTTTTCACATATTTTATCATGAAACATTTCTGGTGTGATGATTTGCTGATGGTCCCTGAGCGCTCGTTTTGCTCCGTCGGCCCATAGAGATCAATGTAAGTCGTCGGGAGCAGAGCATGACAGAGAACAGTGTTTTATTTACAGGGTATCTGCAGGTCCTTAAAAAGTCTTAAAAAGTCTTAAATTAGCTTTTCCAAATTTAAGGCCTTAAAAATCATTAAAAATGACAAATAATCCTTAAATACAGTTTCCAAAGGTCTTAAATTACCAAAGACCCAATAAACAAGATTCTTTTATTTCTATAAAATTTTCGTGAATTTCTAGTTAGTGTTCAGCATTCTTTGTGTACGATGTTGCCGTAAGCGGAACCGTACACCTTCAGTTGGTTGTGAAAGGGGGCTATTTTTAGTTGAGCACATTAGCTGGTTAAGCTAGTGGGAGCTTGCGCCATGGGGAAGTGCAAGTTTAATGGTAACTGGATGGCTAATCCCACGATCGCAGCGTGGTTAGCACCGGCTCCAGGCAATAGCTGGAAATTATAGCTTAAATTTAATTAAAAAAAAAGATAAATGACCCTCACTTGTATAGCGCCTGTCAGAGTAAGGACTCCAAAGCGCTTTATACTACAGTGTATCATTCGTCCATTCACACACACATTCACACACTGATGGTGATGAGCTACAATGTAGCCACAGCTGCCCTGGGGCGCACTGACAGAGGCGAGGCTGCCGAGCACAGGCGCCACCGGTCCCTCCGACCACCACCAGCAGGCAATGTTGGTTAAGTGTCTTGCCCAAGGACACAACGACAGCAGAATTCTCTGTCAGGAACCAGGATCGAACCTGCAATCTTCCGATTACTGGACAACCCGCTCAACCTGTTGAGCTACTGTTGCCCTGCTGAAAAAGCTTATATTTGGTCAAAGTGGCCTTAAAAAAGGTCTTAAAAACTCTTAAATTTGGCTCCCTTAAACCTGCAGGTACCCTGTATTTAAGAAACGAGGTTGTAGCGTGTTCACTACCTTGCCACGATATACCAAAGAGGTATGCTATGTTTCTAAATATCCCTGTGTTTAGAAGGTATTGAGCCGCAAAAGTCGAATCTGTGAATATCTTGCCAAATTTACTGAAGTCATTCTCCAAAATTTCTCCATATTTCCCCTTGGACAAAATTGCTAATCTATCATTTACTAAGCCCGAAAATATTATGGACTCTCAGCATCGAGGATTCTTTTGAGCGGAGAAGATGAACAGAGGAAGAGCGCTCATGCGCTCCACCGGCATCTGCGCCTTGCGCACGGCCACAGCAACATTCTCAAAGCAGCGCCACCAAAATATATTTAACACATGATCCTTCATAACTGCTTTGGTACTTTCTGTCTTTTATTCATGGCTGATGCGCATCGCTGCCAGGCAGCGTTTTTTCTGGAGAACTAGATCCTTTATCTCCCTGTGGCAGATGCAGGATCAGAGACAGACAGGACAGGATAAAAATAAGAAAACAAAACAAAGAGCTTGAAAAAGGAAAATGTAGGTAGATTAATCCCACTACATGTTTTAACATTTTAAAGTAAATATTATTTATAAGCTCATAATGTTCATATATTCCATACAATTCAGATCACCTTCAAAACTCTGCTGCACCCAGGGCCGTATCACAGCATTTGGGGGCCATGCCAACGAGGTGTCCTTTATTTAATTTTTGGGGAGTTGGCAATCCTAGTTCAACTGATGCTGTGGAAAATGACATTTACATTGAATAACATAAGCTAACTGCGCTAGATTTATTTCCTGTTCATTGTTTACACAATAGACTTTTTCAAACAATGTGTCTGAACAGAAACTGGATTTGATTTTAGGTTTTCTCTGTTAAAGACAGTAGTCAGTAATTTTACACACTTCAACAAGTGATGCACTTTCTAAATAAAATGAACCTCTTGTATATTTTTGCATGTTTATTGCTTGCTTTTTCAGAAATAAATTATAATTAATTGTGATTAATTTTTTTCAGATTTTTGATTTATTAGTTAATTAATTTAAATCGATTCCTGGCCTTAAAAATAATTGATAGCCTTCCAAATGAGGAGCGCCAAACTGCAACCTGCAGCGCGTTGATCCAATCCAATCATTTCCTTCCATGTGACTTCCATCGTTACCCCAAAGACCCTCCACCGCTTTTTGAGGATTTTCAAAAGTCAGTCTTTGCATCTTGCAGAAACTGCATGAGTTTTGCAGGATAGAGACAAGAGTTTTAATTTTTCGCTCCTGGAGCTTCTGTATTTTGCACTTTCTTTGAAAACGTCAGTGGTGTAATCCTCATCAAAGTATATTGGTTGACCTTTAATCTGAAAATCCTTTCAAGACCAAGCAGCATTTAGCACATATTGTTTCTCCTTGAAACTGCAGAAGGAAATTATGATGGATCTGGTTGGAGCAGGACCCACGGAAACACCTGTTGTTACTATGCGATGCACCCTTTCAATACAACTCTCCTCCTGCAAATAAGCATGTAATATCAATCTATCTGCGTGTCTGTCTGTATCATATAGGACTACAAAATTTGAATAAACAGGCATTCAATCACAGGTGAGTCTTATGATTCATTTAAGAGGTGTCCAGCAGTCAAGTGACTATATAAGGGTGTTACTTAACAAAGAAAAGCCCTTCCCCTTCCACGTGGAAGGGAAATGTCACAAAATCTGAGAAAGGAAATTATTTCTTTACACTAAAAGGTGAGGGCTACAAGCAGATCAGCAAAGCTTTACTTATCAGTCAGAATACTGTAGCAAAAGTGGTCCAAACATTAAAGAAAGATGGAAGTGCAACCATCTCACAGAGACATCCAGGTCATCCATGGACATTATCTCGACAGGAGCATCTTCTGATGAGAAGGGTTGAAGAAAATCACTATGCAAGTTCACTGCAGCTAAAGCAGTAGAAAGCCAAACTGGAGTGAGTTTCCCGTGGCACCATACGACGTACACTGCAGAGGAATGACATGCGTGGGTATCTTCCACGAAGGAAGCCTCTCCTAAAGCCCATGCACAGAAAGCACACCTAGGATTAGCTAGGGCCCATGCTGAAAGAGACGAAGACTACTGGGACTCAAGACTCTGGAGTGATGAGACAAAGATCACTGTTTTTGGAACTAATGGTTTCAAAACTGTATGGCGTCGTAAAGGTGAGGGTTTTAAAGAGAAATGCATGGTGCTGACAGTGAAGCATGGTGGTGGCAGTGTCCTTATTTGGGCTGCATGAGTGCTGCTGGTGTTGGGGAGCTGCACTTCATTGATGGTGTCATGAACTCAACAATGTACTGCTCTAGATTGAAGGAGAAGATGCTGCCATCACTTGGTTGTAGTGTACTTTTATAACACGACAACGATCCAAAACACACATCCAAAGCTACTGTTGCATTTGTGAAGAAGAACAGGGTGAAGGTGATTGAATGGCCAAGTATGTCTCCTGATCTGAACCCAATCCAACACCTGTGGGTAATTCTGAAGCAGCAAGTTGAGCATAACGCCGGGGACACACCGGCCGCGACGCATAATGCTGCGAAATGGGGACCGCCTTCATTCGGCGCCCTTGTTATCCTATTCTATAGACCACATGGGCCGCAGAAGCCCTGCGCACCGGTGCTCCAGCCCGCGCCGTGCAGCGATCGTTTCGGTGTCTGCTCTATTTTTTTCGCGAGCCGCGAGTGAACTGCGTCATTTCTGGCAGGAAGTCAAACCTAGACATAAGAGGCAGGCCGGTAAATTTAACAAAATAAAGCATTTCAAAATACATTTCTGCTATAGTCAAATGTGTTCGTAAACAGACACTGCATAAAAACCACACAAACACACACAGAGCAAACTTGTGTGTGTGTGACCACAAGAAGGGGGTGTGGTTTGGGGTGTCTTTCAACTGGAGCAAACAGGACAGAGGGGCAGAAAGTCGTAGGCCATCTATTAACAACTGGTTTACACCATAGGTTCACACACGCACGGACAAACACACAAACAGCAAGGGGTAGGGGGGTGTAGAGGAAAAGAGCAGAGAAAAGGCGGAGAGGAAATGGAGGACACCAAGTGGTTAAAAGAAAAACTACGAGGCGCGCCTTGAGCGGAGAAACAAGTGTCTGGTCTGAACTGAGGAGCAGCGGCTGAATTTCATGAGCGCTTCGCCTCCCGGTGTGTCCCCGGCGTCACTCTCCATCCAGAATCCAGGCTCTAAGAGAGGTTCTTCTTGTAGAAATAGAATAAGATAGATGTTGCAATATGTCGCCAACTTGTTCATTCCATGTCTAGAAGGCTTGGTGCTGTCCTTGAAAATCACTGTTGTCATTTTAGATTTTGTGATCTAAGTTAACCTTAATCATGTTATGGAGTCAAACAAGTGTTCAATAAAACCCAGCCTTGTGAAAGTTCTGGAAACTGTTTTTTTGTTCACTGAGCTCCTGATTAAATTAGTACATTTTAAATGGGGTGTACTCATTTATGCTGAGCACTGTATACATTTGATACAATTCATATCACCTTGAAAACTCCATCTCACACCCAGGGCCGTTTCAAGGCATTTGAAGGCTTAAGCAAATACACATGTAGTGCAATTCAAACCCTGGTCAAAAAGACCATGAACTAGATTATTATTTATCTGCATTCCACACCCACTATCAACAAAACACTGTTTTTATTGTAAAAAAAATTGGTGAACAGCTGGTCCGAGTCCAACCTCCTGAGTAATGCTAGGTGTTACTCAAATGCACCAGAATCAAAAGAAATAGTTAAAAATATGTCTGTGTTCCCTGCAGATGTCCAGCAGATAAAGCTGAATGAAGAAGAAGCTCCAGTACAACGGAGTCCCGATGTGGACCAGCAGGACCCAGAGCTACTTATCATAAAGGAGGAAGAGGAAGAACAGTTGGCCAGTCTGGATGAAGAGCAGCTCAGTGTGAAGGAGGAGACAGATGACACAGGGTATTCATTCACTGTGGTTACTTTGAAGAGTGAGGATGACGATGAAGATCTTGTGTCCTCAGAAGGTGACGGAGATCTTCCAGTTAGTTCACCTGACCACGTGGGAGGAGATGTCAGCGAGGAGGACTGTGATAAAGCAGAGACAAACCTAGATTATCAAGATGATTCCAGCTCCTCAGAGATTGGAGTCGGTACGGATGATGACAGTGACTGGACTAATCCTGACTATCAGCTCAAATGTGTCTCCGACTCGGAGTCAGAAACTGAAAACGATGATGAAGATTGGAAGGAGAGTGGTGCTTCAGAGTCTGGTGTAAACACCACCAACACAAGCTTTAATAAGAAATGTTATGGAGTGAAGAAAAATGTTGAGTCACACGAGAAAGTCCAGACAAAACTGAAATCCTTCATTTGTGCTGACTGTGGTAGAAGGTTCAACAGGAAAACAAATCTTAACAATCACATGAGAATCCATACAGGACAAAAAACATTTAGCTGTGATGTTTGTAAACAAAGTTTTAGCCTAAAGACAAGTTTAAACAGACACACAAGAATCCATACAGGACAGAAACCCTTTGACTGTGATGTTTGTGGACAAACGTTTAGCCGAAAGGCTACTTTAAACAGACACATAAGAATCCACACAGGGGAGAAACCATTTAGTTGTGATGTTTGTCTGCGAAGTTTTGGAGATAAAACCACATTAAACTCACATAAGAGAAAGCACACAGGGCAGAAACCATTTGATTGTGATGTTTGTGGGCGAAGTTTTAGTGAGAAAACAAATTTAAATGCCCATATGAGAATCCACACAGGACAAAAATCTTTTTGTTGTGAGGTCTGTGGACAAATATTTAGCCAAAAGACAAATTTGAACTCACACATGAGAATCCACACAGGACAGAAACCATTTGATTGCATTGTTTGTGGCCAAAGGTTTAGTGATAAGAAACATGTGAAAATACACATGAGAATCCACAATGGACAGAAACCTTTTGGTTGTGATGTTTGTGGAGAAAAATTTAGCCAAAAGACGCATTTAAATTCGCACATGAGAATTCACACCAGACAAAAACCGTTTCATTGTGATTTTTGTGGTAGAAAGTTTAGCCAAAAGACAAACCTAAACAGACACAAGAGAATCCACACAGGACTAAAGCCTTTTGATTGTGATATTTGTGGGCACAAGTTTAGCCAAAAGATAAGTTTACACAGGCATTTCAGGACCCACACTGGAGAGAAACCATTTTGCTGCGATATTTGTGGACAAGCATTTAGCCGAAAAACGCATTTAAACCGACACATAGGAGTCCACGCAGGACAGAAATAGTTCCATTATGATGCCTGTGGTGTTTCAGTTACTTCTGTCAAGTGAATGTGTGTTAGTTGAATTAATATAGCATGAAGGTACCAAGTTTTTACTGATCATTCCATATTTAATGGACACCTACTTATCCACAATGGAGAAAAAATTGACCAAAAGTCAATTTTAAACACATCTATAAAAATATAGACACTGTTTGGTTATGAGGTTTGCTGACAAAGTTTTATTTTATTTATTTTTTTCAAAAGATGCAAATAAACACAACAGTCAGAGCCATTCATTTGTAAATATCAAGAATATTTCTTAAGATACTGAAGAATTCACACAGATTTGAAGCTGTAGATTCAGGGTTCGTTGATGTTTTACATGCTAAACTGAATGTGATTTTTTTTTATATTTGTTCAGGTTGAATCTTACTTGCTCATCTTGAATAAATGATTAAAAAACTGAATCTGTATTAGCGTAATTTGAAATCTAAATGTATTGGTTAAATAATGATTGTTACTAACCTGACTTCAATATTTTGAAACAGATTTTAAAACTTATTAGATGGCACCGTTGTCTGGTATGCTGTCCCTGTTTGCAGAATTTTTTGTTGACTGCTTTGTCTATAATAATATTTAATGATATTAATACTTTATATTTAAACCACCTTGAGTTCCCTTCATATTGTGCGCGTGGAAATTCTTTTACTTTCACTGTTAATCGTAGCTGAGTTCTACTGCTGCTTTTCTTCTATTTGATTTCACCAAACATTTAATCATCTATCACAATCATTCTTGATTTTTTTCGACTACATTTCTTCCTTGAAAATGATTGTTCCCCTCTATCCTTCCAATTTATAATAATGTGTTCCTCAGTTCTTAACCCAATTTTAGTTGTTTCTGCAATCTCCTTAAATATTTTCTCTGCCAGATGCATGTCAATGATTTGACCATTCTCAAACAGACTAGAATCTTTTCCACGAGTTGCGTCTTTCCACATGGTTGTTTAATGGAAAACATACTCATTGCACCAGTTGGAGTTAAATAAATTGTTACCAGCTGAAAGATAACTGCCCATGCAGCAATTATCCATTAGGCGGTTTGCACAAATTTGCTTAGTTAAATCCAAGTGGCAATTTTTTTGGGCCTAGCTGTGTACCTGCACTGGTCTAGTGCTAGTGAATTTGCTGCTGCACAACCACCATGTTTTTTTCTGAACCCCACTTGACTGTTGTTAGCGTGCTACACGCTAGCATTATCATTAACCAATCTGCCTGTAGTTTGATCCCAAACTTTGGACAGTTTCTGCCTTTTACAATGGATTGTGTCTGTTGGTATCTATTTTCCTCCACAACACCTAGATTACCACATTTTGCACCAATAAAATGTGTTCAGACCGTGGTGCACATATTTAACGAAGTTTCGAATCCGTAAAAAAAAACTATTCGAGGAATTTAATTAATCGAACCCTTCGATGAGTCGTTTCAGCACTAAACAATTATTGTACACTTTTTGTTGTGGGTATAAACTTAGTTTCACTTCTCAAATATCACTGTGTGTGCCTCCTATATAATATATTCCAACAGATTTTTTTGGTCAAACAACCAAAACCCAATTTTTGGGTTATAAAGGAAAATCATGAAGATTAACAAAGCTGCCCAAACCTTTGCATCCCACTGTACCAATTCCTGATGAAGGTCTCTGACCGAAAGCTTGACCAAACATGTTGATCAACATCGCAGATTGAAGTGTGCGGATTCTCATTTTGTTCATCCCACTGTACCTAAAAGTTGTTAGTAGCTGAAGTCCACAAATTGCCCTCTTGACATTGTTTCAACTGGGGTACTTAAGTAAGTTTTTCACCGTGTAGGGCCATGACTCCTTTGCTATTTCGATACCTGCCTAAGATTTGGCTCTGTCCCAACTTTTTAAGCAGGCTGTGGTCAAGCCTCTATTGACGCTTGCAAATTAGCGTTGGTTCGGTCCCAGAATTTGGTTTCACATACACGTCAGATTCGCGTTTTCGGTGCAGAGGCGACTCTTTCTCAGACCTCCCCAGTGGTCAGACTGGGACCGAGGCGACACAACGGACTGATGGGCCTTCTGTCTGTAGCACGGCGCTGCCGTTTCGGAGCTGCCGATCAGTATAGCTGTGTGTGTGTGTGTGTGTGTGTGTGTGTGTGTGTGTGTGTGTGTGTGTGTGTGTGTGTGTGCATGCGTGCGTGAGTGCGCCTGTTCTCTGCATCGGAGCTCTTGCCCCAGTGAGCAGATAGCTGCTCAGGGGAGAAATCAGTGTGTGTATGTGGCACAAGATTATGAGGACACACACAGCAAATTAATAAAATAATGTGGTTCAGTCTCCAAAAGAAACACAGCTCATGCCCGCCTTTGTTTACCTTATAATGGAAGACACCGCGGACTTTCCTGCACGTATTAAACCCCGCCCATTGGCTCTGGGATTTCCGCATTCCTGAGAAGTCCCTCGGATTTATATGTGAACACTAGTGTTGTCAAAAAATCAATACCTAGATATAAATCGATACTAAAAGTGGTATCTAAATTAGATATTCCATCCCTGTGGTATCGATATTATGGAGTCTCACACATATGCACAGCCTTCTTCAAGTACACCGACACGCACGACAGCCAGATGCGTAAAGCAGCCTCCGCCTCCCAGACAAACAGAAGAAGACGCCGCATGGCTACATTGCAATTTCCCACGCGAGTTGTCTCCGATCCAAGTTTTGTTAACAATGGCAACAGCAAATTTGGGAGGCGCTTCACAGCCCAACTTAATTAGCATACCAAGTCCAACACGTAGTTGTATATTCACGCGTATGTGCTTAAAGGAAAACTCCCGTTTATTGCAACTCGGACTTAATTTCTAGCATGCAGTACGTTTGTTTACTCACGCTGACAACTTTGGTGCTACTTGGGTATTTAGATCCATCGGCGAATCGTCGTCAGTGTATATCCATATAACGGGTGTGGACGGGCACCCATGATGCAGCCTCGAAATAAGATTATCTGCACCAAAACATCTTCATGTCGAAAGGTTTTGTTAGGAATCATTAACGTGATTCCCCTGTTCGTTTGGAGCGGGTCTGGGATTTCTAGGCGTAAATAGACTAGCTGCGGCTAATTAACCGGCACTTTTAATGACATCACTGCCGTGTGCCAATCTGTTTTTATTAAGATTAGATGTACCTTTGTCCTACTGTGGAGAAATTTGTTTTCTCCCTTTATTGACCAACAGAGTTTTTCAAAAGTACAGAACAAAACACATGGCATTACATCTTATGACAAAAATGCACCTTAAACAGAGTTTAAGCAGCAAAACATCACTCAGCAAATAGTGTATATACAGTGAGACAATTCATGATTTAAAGTGTTAACTTTCGCCAGTTTTTGTATGCACGTTTTAAAAAATGCTGATACTTGAAAGGTTTAAGCACTTTACACACAATTCTTAACATTTAATTTTTGCAATATAAATTGAGGAATGTTATTTTTTTGAATAAACTTGTTCAATAAATTGCTGTTTTTAATAGTATCGAAATCGAGTATCGAGTTGGTTTTTCCCAGTATCGAATCTAGCTTGAAATTTTAGTATCGTGACAACCCTAGTGAACACTACACCGGCCGTTCAAGACCGAACTCACCCCATCCAGCCCGACCAAACTCTGACCATGCCGATGCTAATGTGTAAGCACCATAGACGCATAATCTTGTCCAAACAATTTTTTTGATGTTTAGTACAGAGTTATATTCTTCTGTTCTTATACCCAAAGACAGCTGATAATGCTAGACCAAACAGTGGCCTGTGTTACAGTGAATCGTTCAATTGTCTCATTTGGCTCAGTAGGTGGGACTTCAGCGAACAGTGTTACATTTGTTCAGGTCATATTTAACTGACAGAATTTTCTCCGTGGTGATTAATGATTTCTAATCTGCCCCTGTAACACAGTCCTCTGATGTGCTGATGGGATCCTTGTTGGGCCCTATTCTATTCTTTTTGTACATGCGGCCCTAGGTTCAGTGATTTCTCGCCATAACATTTCATTTCACCTGTATGCAGAGGACTTCCACCTGCCTGTTGTCCAAAACTCCACAGATGCACACTTGATATTCCTACATGACATCAAGCAGTGACTTTCACACAATTTCCTCTCCTTGAACAAGTCAAAAACTGAGTTTGTCCTTTTTGATGATTTTTGTTCTACAAATACATCTTCCAGTCTCGTTTCTCTGACAATCCACCTCAGCCATTCAGCAAGGAATCTCGGAGTGACATAGGGCAGTACTATCAGTAAGCAGCTAAACTTTGTGATCAGGGCCAACTTTTCCATATCCGCCTGTTGGTTAAAGTCAAAAATTTTCTCAGCCTTAGTTACCTGAAAGAAACAATTCATCCTCTTATCTATTCAGGCTTGAACTATTGCAATGCCCTCTATGCTGAATTGCCTCAGGCCTTTGCACCATCTAAAACTGGTCCAAAATGCAGCTGCCCGTAAACAACACCCTCAGATGTGACCACATCACTCCTGTGTTGTACTTTGCAGTTCAGAATAGTGTAAAATTTTACTCTTTGTATTTTGTTATATGTGACGTTCTGTCTACTTATCAGCCCAGCAGCATGTTGTGCACCTCTGATGTGTAGTATCACTTTCAGACACTGGAGGGTAGCAACTCTCCATCTTCATTTCTTTTCTAAACGATTTTGTTTATTTGTTTATTTAAGGATCCCCATTAGTCTTCACAATAGTGAAAACTATTCTTCCTGGGGTCCACTTGATAAAAGAAACAAAAAAAGAAAACACATACAATATCACAGACAGTGTAGGATTAAACGTACAATATTTCATATACAATGTAAGAAAAACACAAGAAACTCTTATAATCAACCTCATAAAACTAAATAATAAAAAAGCACTAAAAAGTCAATTTAAAAATGGATCAATTAATCAATAAAATGATAATAACAAAGTGTTAATGTCAGGGTGTTAATTCTATTAATCTAATTGAAGTCTATAAATCTAAAATCTATTAATCTAATTGAAATATCTGTAACTGTTGTCTGTTATAAGCTTATGTTTTACAAATTTCTTGAGATTCACTTTAAACGCATCATGAACATTTATTGTTATTAGTTCAGGAGGCAGGATATTCCAGCATGTGACTGCTCTGTAAATGACTGTTCCTTTAAGTGCACTGGTTCTTGGCAATGGAAGAGTAAAGATAAAATGAGAGGCATTCCTTGTGTTAAAACCGTGCCGCTCACAGGGTGGTAACAACTTTGTAAACAAGCTAAAAGGTTTATGTAAAACCCAGATTTTGTGTAACGACCCAACCAGGCTGCAGGCTAGTCCGTCATTTACACTCATCCATGACAGATTAAAATGCTTCCAGTGGATATTAGTTTTAAAAAGGCAACCAGTCCGGTTATGGCTGCCATGTGAGAGGACAG